CAATCTTGCTATGTTTCACCTAAAAATTTTAATGTAGAATTAGGGCTATTTTTTCTATATTGGGTCCAGCAACCTTTATATGCCAAGGACAGGAACAATCCAGTTCCAGTCTGGCAGAGGCTGGGTGATTTTGATAGTGCAGCAGCAGTGAGGGCAGCCTGCATCCACGCTGGGGCCAGGCAGCTAGGAGTGGCACCTGTGCCATTGCCACATACAGAAATTAAATCTAATTGGCTTGACCAATAATTCCTTTTCTGAAATTATGATATTAATACTGAAATCTACCAACAACCTGGGTAGCTTTATAACAACAAAAATAAATTATAAACGGAATAAAACTGTTTACAATACCTTTCAAGACATCAGTTTCTATGTCCACTAATGGTTTTCCAACATAAGCAATTTCATCTAGATTATAATAGAGTTTTCTAATAATTCCATCATAACGACTAGTGATAGTAACTGAAGCTTTGTCACTTTGTACTTCACAGATGCTATCAAACTGAGATACGCTATCACCTTCTTTTACATACCTAAGGGAAAACAAACAGACTTTCATAGAACATGATAAGCATAAAAATCATACTGGCTTTGTATGTTTTTGATAAATGTAATTATGCATGCCAGTACAGTGCTATAGTGCTCAACCTATCCAGTTCTCTAATCCAGATGAGCGGTACACAGCTGGTCCAGAGGCCAGATCCCATGTAGGGGACAATCCATGCGCAAGATCCAGCACAGGGTCAGTTCACAGATGCAATCTGGCATACCAACAGCAGAGGTCCATATCCAGCCCTGCACGGTGGATCCAGCCCTGCACGCATATTATGTAGCATGTGTGGCTCCCAAGGGGTCCACAAATTTGATGGCAGTGGGGTCGCCACTGTTTCCCTGCTGCTAAATTTCTGGACCCCTGGGGAGCCCTGCAGACCAGATCACACTGTTCCAAAGACTGGATCCAGCTCACAGGCTGTAGGTTGAGCTCTACTGGTATAGTTTATTTACATACTTCTAAGTATCTTTACACAGTATACAACAAATATTGTTTAATAGTAGGAAAAGACTATTTGAAACTCCCAACACACATATAGATACAGAAGCTCTGCAACTGAAGAGGCTACTGCTACCATATTTTCTTGAAAATAATCTATTCCTGAATATAACATGCACCAAGTTTTTTTCAAAAGCATTATGAAAATGAAAAAATCTTAATTTGGGTAAGTCACTGAGTAAATAAGGAAAATCTGCCTACTGTGAATTGTACCTACTGTAACCCAATTGTAGATAAATAATGATACTGCCTCACAAAGAATAGAATACTATGAGACAGAACAAAATATTAAGAAGCTTTATGAAGCTTTTGTTGTACATGGCATAGAGTTTCAAAATGTGGTAAATCAAAATTCTAAGAAACCTACACTGGCAGGCCAAAAAGTTATTCACATGATGACAAGGATCCTGGTTTTCCCTATTTAAAAATGGCAAATTCTCTGATAAACCTTCTCCTGCAACAACTTCTCTGGTTAATATCACCAAAATCTACATTTTTCCATGATTAAAATGAAACACCACTATATATGACGAGGTGACTGGCTCTGTGGATGCGGGGACAAAGGTGGATATGGTGAACCTTGATTTTAGCAAGGCTTTTGATACAGTCTCCCACAACATTCTCACAGGATGCTAAGGAAGTATGAGCTGGATGAATGGACTGTAAGGTAGATAGAAAACTGGCTGGAGCATCAGGCTCAGAGAGTAGTAATCGATGATCTGATGTCTAGTTGGCAGCCTGTATCAAGTGGCGTGTCCCAGGGGTCGGTCCTGGGGACAGTTTTGTTCAATGTCTTCATCAACGACCTGGAAGATGGCATACAGTGCACCCTCAGCAAGTCTGCAGATGACACCAAGGGGGGGGGAGCAGTAGATATGCTGTAGGGTAGGACTAGGATTCAGAGTGACCTAGACAAATGGAAGAACTAGGCCAAAAGGAATCTCATGAGGTTCAAGAAGGACAAGTGCAAAGTCCTGCACTTAGGATGGAACAATCCCATGCACCAGTACAGGCTGGGGGCTGACTGGCTGGGCAGCGGCTCTGTAGAAAAAGACCTGGGAGTTACAGTAGACAATAAGCTGAATATGAGCCAGCAGTTTGCCCTTGTTGCCAAGAAAGCTAATGGCATACTGGGCTGCACTGGTGTGTTGCCAGTAGGTCAAGGAAGTGATTATTTCCCTCTATTCAGCACTGGCGAGGCCACATCTGGAGTACCTTGTTCAGGTTTGAGCCCCCCACTATAGAAAGGCTGTGGACAAACTGGAGAGAGTCCAGCAGGGGGCGACAAAAATGGTGAGGAGGCTGTGGGACATGACTTACGAGGTTAAGACTAAGGGAACTGGGCTTATTTAGTTTAGAGAAGAGGAGACTGACAGGAGACTTGATAGCAATCTTCAACTACCTGAAGAGGGGTTTGAAAGACAATAGAGCTAGGCCAGCAGTTCCCAATCTGTGTTACAGGTACCATCAGTGGTACGCAGACAACCCGTTAGTGGTACATGTTAAACAATTTATTCATAGTTTCATAGTTTCATAGATTAAGGGTCAGAAGGGACCTAGTAGATCTTCTAGCCCGACCCCCCGCCAGGGCGGGAGAACAACAAAACCCCAAAACAAGAAACGGGACTCAAATGAGTCCAGCCAGGTAGGCATCCAGCCTCTTCTTAAAGACCCCCAGGGTAGGGGCCAGCACCACTTCCCTTGGAAGTTGGTTCCAGCTCCTAGCCGCCCTAACTGTGAAGTAGTTTTTGCGGATGTCCAATCTATACCTCCTCTCCATCAACTTGTGCCCATTACTCCTTGTTATGCCAGCGGGCGCTAGGGGAAACAGCGTCTCCCCCAAACCCTTCTGGTCCCCCCTAGTGAGTTTATAGACGGTCACCAGGTCCCCCCTCAGCCTTCTCTTGTGGAGGCTGAATAGGTTCAGGTCCCGCAGTCTCTCACTGTAGGGTCTGCCCTGTTGTCCCCGGATCATGCGGGTGGCCCTCCTCTGGACCCTCTCCATGTTGTCCACATCCCTCTTGAAATGGGGCGCACAGAACTGGACACAATACTCCAGCTGTGGCCTGACCAGCGTCGCGTAGAGGGGGAGGATCACCTCCTTGGCTCTACTCGAGATGCACCTGTGGATGCACGACAAGGTCCGGTTAGCCCTGCCAACCATGACCTCGCATTGTCGGCCCATGTTCATCTTGGAGTCAATAATGACTCCAAGATCTCTTTCTGCCTCCGTGCTCTCAAGTAGGGAGTTCCCCATTGTGTAAGTGTGCTGCTGGTTCCTACTGCCCAAGTGCAGCACCCTGCACTTGTCCGTATTGAAACGCATCCTGTTCCTGTTAGCCCACCCCTGTAACCTATCCAGATCCCTCTGCAATCTCTCACTCCCTGCTAGCGTGCTCACCTCCCCCCAAATTTTGGTGTCATCAGCGAATTTAAACAGGTTACTTTCCACCCCATCATCCAGATCGCTGATGAAGAAATTGAACAGCGCAGGCCCCAGGACCGAGCCCTGGGGGACTCCGCTACCCACCTCCCCCCAGGTCGAGTATGACCCATCCACCACCACCCTCTGAGTGCGACCCCTCAGCCAATCTGCAATCCATCTGACTGTGTAGGCATCTATGCCACAGTCGCCTAGTTTTTTAACTAGGATGGAGTGAGAGACGGTGTCAAAGGCCTTGCTGAAGTCTTTACTTTACTTTATATTACAAAAATTTTCTGGTGGTACTTAAGGTTTAACTGAAAAATTTTCTGGTGGTACTTAAGGTTATATCATTTAAATTAGTGGTGAGCAATCTGTCAGAGTTTGGGAACCACTGAGCTAGGCTATTCTCAGTGCTGGCAGATGACAGAACAAGGAGCAACCGTCTCAACTTGCAGCAAGGGAAGTTTAGGTT